CAGGTTGGTTATGCTCTGATAAAACCCCAGCAGGCAAGGCTGATAAAGTAATTCCTCTTGAGGGCATATCTTAAGAAAAACAGAATGCTCTGGTGTCTTTCAGTACGGTTCCTTTGCCCCTCCCCCTGATGAAACTATGAGGGAATTGTTCTCCAGTCTTCAACTGAGAACTTGGTAGAGCTCCTGGAGGCAAAACTCACAAAAGTATGGGTGAAGTTTATAACTCTCAGACTTGTCCAAACTGAACCTCCAGTAATTAATTAATTACAGTTTAGGTTTTCCTACCATAGTACTGGTTCCTGTGGAGCTTTCTGCTTATGGGTTTCTGCTTTAGTAATTGGTGAATTTCTGTACCCACCTTTCTATCTCTCCAGCTACAGGGGCAGCACATTTCCCTGTCACCTCAATTCTCTGATGAATCTAAGAGCTGTTGATTTTGTCCAACTTTTTACTTTTTTTTTTTTTTTTAGGATGGAGTGACAACTTCAAGCTTCTTGCGTGACAAAATATTAATTAGAAGTTTTTGATTTCTTTGATTCATGGATTTTTTGGGGGGGAAATATACATGTATAATTTTTTAAAAATTAACTTAATTTTTTTAGAGCAATTTTAGATTTACAGAAAAATTGAAGGGACAATACATAGTGTTTAGCCTTGGCTCCCAGACATACAAAGGCCTCACCCATTATCAACATCCCCCACAAGAGTGGTACATTTGTTAGCACCAATGAACCTATGCTGATACATCATTATCACCCAAAGTCTATAGTTTACAGTTTACTGATGGTGTTGTATATTCTATGGGTTTTGACAAATGTATAGTGATATATATCCACCTTTATGGTATTATACAGAGTAGCTTCACCTGTACTCTATTCATCCCTTCCTAAACCCTGATAACTATTGATCCTTTTAGTGTCTCCATAGTATTGCCTTTTCCAGAATGTCATATAGTTGGAATCATATAATATATAGCTTTTTCAGATTGGCTCCTTTCCCTTTGTAACATGCACTTAAGTTTCCTTCATGCATTTTTATGGCTTGATAGCTCATTTCTTTTTAGCACTGAATATTATTCCATTGTCTGGATATACCACATATATTTATCCCCTTACCTACTGACAGACATATTGGTTGCTTCCAGGTGTTAACAATTGTGAATAAAACTGCTATAAACATGCATATATTTTTATTTTTTAATGTTTTTATTGATTTCAGAGAGAGGGAGGAAAGATAGAAATATCAATGATGAGAGAGAATCATTGCTCAGCTGCCTCCCGCACGTCCCCTACTGGGCATCGATCCCAGAACCATGCATATGTTTTTGTGTGGACATAAGTTTTCAACTCCTTTGGGTAAATGCTAAGCAGTGTAATTGCTGGATCATAGTAAGTGCATGTTTAATTTTGTAAGAAACTACCAAAATGTATTCCAACGTGGCTTTACCATTTGCATTTCCATTAGCAATGAATAAGAGTTTCTGTTGCTCCCCATCTTTGCCAGCATTTAGTGCTGTCGGGGTTTTCAATTTTGACTATTCTAATAGTTGTGTAGTGATAGCTCAATGTTGTTTTAGATTACATTTCCTTGATGATATATGATGTGGAGCATCTTTTCTATCCTTATTTGCCATCTGTTTATCTTCTTTCTTTTTTCACATTTTTTTATTGTTCACACTATTACAGTTGTCCCCCATTTCCTCCCCCACTCTTTGCCCACCTCCACCCAGCCCCCATCACACCTCCCCTGGCCTTCAACACTCTGTGGTCTGTCTATAGGCTATGCATATATGTTCTTTGGCTACTCTTTTCACCTTCTTTTAATCAGCTCTCCCAACCTCTTCCCCTCTGTCCTCAGTCTATTACAAGTATCCATGCCTCTGGTTCTATTTCATTCTTCAGTTTATTTTATTCATTAGATTCCACATATAATTGAGATCATATGATATTTGTCTTTCTCTGGCTTATTTCATTTAGCATAATAATCTCCAGGTCCATCCATGCTGTCGCATAGGGTAAGAGATCTTTTTTTTTTTTTTTATAGCTGCATAGTATTTCACGGTGTAAATGTGCCACAGCTTTTTTATCCACTCATCTACTGATGGGCACTTGGGCTGTCTCCAGATTTTGGCTATTGTAAATAATGCTGCTATGAACATAGGGTTGCATATGTTCTTTCTGATTGGTGTTTTGGGATTCTTAGGATATATCCCCAGAAGTGAGATCACTGGGTCATAAGGCAGTTCCATTTTTAATTTTTTGAGAAACCTCCATTCTATTTTCAGTAGTGTCTATGCCAATCTGCATTCCCACCAACAGTGCACAAGGGTTCCCTTTTCTCCACATTCTAGCCAATACTTGTTTGTTGTTTTATTGATGACAGCCACTCTGACAGATGCAAGGTGATATCTCATTGTGGTTTTGTGTATCTTCATTAGCTCCTTTTTAATTGAGTTGTTTATGTTCTTATTTTTGGGTTTAAGTGTTCTTTGTATAAACTTTGAAGGGGCTACTTAAGCCTGCTGTCCCTAGCTTTGGGGATTAAGCAGACACTGAGTCATTTTTCTTTTCCTTATTATAATTTATGTATTTATCTCATGGAATTGGAACATCCTTGGCCTTGGTATACCATGACATTCTAATGAGTTTATTTACCAACTTCATATGTTTAGAGGTGAAGGAAGCATGGTCAGATGGACCAAAACACTCTTAATGGCCTCTGGCAGCAGAATATTGATCCTGCATGTCATTTAACTTCTGTAGGCTTTATTTGTCCCTTTAAATCAGGGAACTATCACTTGATCTAAATAATCTGAATTCTGGGAAGCATCAAATGGGATGATCAAAATGGAATCTATTTATACAGTATAAAGTTATAAAAATGGGTGACTTTAAAATTGTATTTGATATTGTGCGTTTAAATTACACAAATTGACTAATTTTATAACTGTTTCAAAATAAGATCTATTTTTCCTGGAAATAATGGGCAAAAAATGATCCTATAACAAAATGAAAACTTCATCATGCCAATTCCAATTTTAGGCAGAATACTTGTTAGGGCTTTGCATTTACTTTAAGCTCCCCTGTTTTCAAAGTGAATAATCCAAACGATTGTGTCCTGGAATGAAAGGAGGAATGATGTCTCATTTTCTAAAATATTTCTTAATAGAACAACAGAATATACCCAAACACACTTGCTGGCATGAACTTTCCTTTGACTTGGCTTAATGGAATCTCTGGGATTTACAAAAAAATTCCTTTGCTGTTCTTGCAGCCATAAGTTGTGTTATCAGTTTTGAACAGTCCAGGGCTGTCTGTCTATTGACATGCATTCTGGTATTTTATTTGCACTGAGAGTTTTGTTCCTATCAAAAGTAAGAATGCTTCACCCTAGTCAGTTTGTTTAGTGGTTAGAGTGTTGCCCCTCGGACTGAAGGGTCTCAGGTTCGATTCCCATCAAGGATCCTCTGCCAGGTGGGGAGGCAACCAGTAGACACATTGATATTTCTCTCTCCCCCCTTGCTTTCCACTCTCTCTTAAAAAATCAGCCAGAACCTTTTCCCTTTAATATTAACTTGCTTAACTGCAAGGATACTGAGAGCTGTTTTGACCCTACCTGCCACTATATGATAGACAAGTCGCCTGACTTGTTTGGATCCTTTTACCCCAGCTATAAAGCCAGAGGCTTGGGCTGTATAATCCATAATGTCCCTAAAGCCAAGATGCTAGGTTTGTGAAAAATACTGATTCTGAAAAGGTAAAATATTGTCCCGTGTTTACAGATTCATGCAATTTCAGGGCCATTATAAAGCAAAACAAAGCTTGGATTTGATGAGGGGAGGACTTCTCTTCAAAGATTTTCTCCTAAATAACAAAATATGGCAGATAACATCAACACAGGAGTAAGCCAGTCTGTTTTATGCAATGTGAAATTCTCTATACCAACTACCTAAGATCACTGTTACGTCTTATTGCAAAAATGGGAGTCAAGAAGGACACGTGACTCCAAAACCTGAAATAAACCTGTGGAAGTTTTGGGGTGCGCTCACATTGTTAGGGACAAAACACCTATTTAACTCATTTTATGCTTACAACGACCTGAAAAAGTACCGTCTCCATTTTCGAGTTCAGGAAACAGGTATGAGATTTTGTGGTTTGCCCGGTACCGCAGATAGCGGCAGGTTTTAAACTTGCCTGCGCGCGTCGGGACCGTCTCCGGAGCCTCGGGAGCCTCCTGGGGGCCTTTCCAAAGCGGGAGGCCGCGCGTCGCGGCCAGGACGGACTGAGGCGCAGGGCGCCCCGCGCCGGGCCCGGGCCC